ACAAAATTAAATGACTTGTTTAACATCATACAAAGTGGCTCACTGTCCAGGACCTGGACATTCTGGCATTTGGATACTTTTGTTGTAAAATGAATTTGATTGATAATGAAGAGAAACTCAGTGAGACTACAAATATGAAGATAAACATTCTCTCTAGAGTGTAGATATATATAAAAAAGAACTCTTCATCAGCTTGGTGATGTGGGTTTGGGTTTCTTTAGAAACTAGAAATAGGCCAGGCTCGGTGGCTGAGTCTGTAATCCCAGCACTTTGGGAGGCCGAGGTGAGTGGATTGCCTGAGCCCGCGGGTTCGAGACGCACCTGGGCAACTTGGCGAGACCTCATCTCTACAATAAATAAAAAATTAGCCGGGCGTGGTAGCGCGTGACTGTAGTTCCAGCTACTTGGAAGGCTGAGGCGGAAGGATTGCCGGAGCCCAGCAGGTCGAGGCTGCGGTGGCCGGGAGTGGCCACTGTACTCCAGTCTGAGTGACAGAGTGAGACTTCAACTCAAAAAAAAAAAAGAAGAAGAAAAGAAACTAGAAATAACATGGTTAGCAGTGATGGGTCAACAAGTTTAAGGTAGTTTGACCTTTAATATTATCACCTTAATGTTCCTTTAGTCAAGTAGAACAATATGCACATTATGTTTTTTGGTTGCATTTATTGATGGCTGTTTTGATTTCTTTAAAATCTTTAAGGAGATGGTGTGACTTGAATAGAATGCTTTGCATTTAAGAGAATTGATGGACATATAACATTAAGTTATAGATAACATTAATGCATAATTTTTTCCCCCAAACATCCTGAATATCTTTTATATGAAAGGATGTTGATGAAATCTTTAGGATGATATCATAAATCACTTAACAAAACTGTATCTCCAAAACCACTTACAATTTTTGAATTAAGAACGACTAAAATCTATACATGTACTAGTGTTCTACACGTTCAACTTACCATTCAGATTAATAGCAGACTTTAAAAATATCCTTGCTAATATAAAGATTGATTTGTATGACAATTTCCAAAATGCATATTCACTTAACACTTTTTAAAACATCTCAGTTGGAGTCTAGCATCTGAATAAAGGCACACATGATGTAGTGTGCTTATGAATTTATTTAATACTATGTTAGAAATTTTGAAGTTTTGATTGTTTAGGCAAGTGTAATGAATAACAAACACCACATAAAAGAGTGAGGGGTAGTCTGTAAGCTCTGGTATTCAATTTTTAGCCCATCCCACTGTGTGCGTTTTGAATTAAGGACATGCATTTACTGCATTGGTTAATCATCAGTAATACATTTTTTAAACATCTTAATTTTTTATTTATATTTTCTTCCTTTTCAACAAAAGCATGAGCCTCAGAATGGGAGTAACTGTTTTGTTCACTTTTGTATCTCATGTCTGGCACATATAAGTGCTTGGTAAATAAAAGAAAGGTAGATTTACTAAAGGAAAGATATGTTGTTAAGGGCACAATGGGCAGGACATAGTGAGAGTGTCTGCTGCCAATGCATAATTTTTATTCGTTCGTTTTTCTGAAATTCCTTCTGTTTCGTTTTTTGGACTTTCCAGCATCTTTTTATTTCCTTTACTTCTCCTATCCCCCTTAAAAGTCTCATCTTCTTGTTCTTTTTGAATACACTTCTCTTTAGTCTGTTGGTAACTGGTTCTATCTAACCACCTGGAGAGCTCCTTGATATTGGGCAATGGGAGATATACAACTTTGTTTTGCAAACACCAAGCACACACATAAATGATGACTAAAAGTGTAGTGAGACATACTTTTTTAGCAAGAACTGCATATTATGAAGCCTTTTCAATGCTTTTGTTGATAATACTATAACAACTCCTGTGATTTTAATTAGAAGTAAAGTCATACAGACATTCTTTGTTAGGGAAAAAAGTAGAACTGTGGCTGCAGATGTACAAAGTTATCCTTTCCATGGATTTATTAAAATATATATATATTCATATAGTTGTGAATAAAAATACTTTAGTTCACTTGTTTCTCTCTCACAATGTTTTTCTTTAAAAATAATGTCAGCCCTCTGTCTCCATTGGGTTGTACGTCTGTAACTTTAGCCAACTGGTGATCAAGGATGTTTGGAGAAAAAAATAGATGATTGCATCTGTACCAATCATGTATAGACTTTTTTCCTTCTCATTATTCCCTAAACCAGGGGTAGGAACCCAGCAGGAGGTGAGCGACGGGTGAGTGGAGCTCCACCTCCTGTCAGATTAACTGTGGTATTAGAGTCTCATAGGCGCCAACTCTATTGTGAACTGCACATGCGAGGGATCCAGATTGCATGCTCCTTATGGGAATCTAATGCCTGATGATCTCCCCTCCATCTGTGGAAAAATTATCTTTTACAAAATTCATCCCTGGTGCCAGAAATGATGGGGACCCGTGCCCCAAATAATACAGTATAACAACTATTTATGTAGTATTTGTACTGTATTAAGTATTATAAGTAATTTAGAAAGGATTTAAAGTATATAGGAGGATGGGCATATGTTATATATAAATACCATGCCATTTTATGTAAAGGGACTTGAGCATCCATGGATTTTGGTATCTCTGGGGGATCCTACAACCAGTCCCTCCTGGATACTGAGGGATGACTGTTTATCTTAAGATATGCTAGGATAACACTTAATACCTCTGCCTCCTTCCAAAATCAGAGAACTGTATTCTCCTTATATATTTAGCAGTCAGACAGTTACATCCTTTAGGTGAAATTGGATAAGGTAAAAGTGAGTTGCCAAGACTGGCCTGAATCAAATGCTTGTTAGGACATCTTGACCCTAAATGATTCTACTGATAATTTTATTTGAAGAAATGCTTAAGGGTGAATGGTATTGTGTAATTTCAAGAAAGAGAAAACCACATGTTTTGGAGTAGTATTTGTGAGGCGATAACTCATAGTTAATAATATAGGGACGTTCTCAAGGCTTACTAGGAGATCCACAGGGTCTGTTTGTCAGAAAAGGAGGCTCCAGCAGCATCTGTCTTCTGTCTCTGCTTTGCTCTCACCCCATCAGCTTTGTACAAAGTCCAGACTACATTCACCTTTAACCATAGAACAGTGGCATAAAACAGCACAGAAATTACATTATTGCCTGATAAGTCTACCTACTATAGAAGAAAAATACAAAAGCAATAATTTTAGGAATTTCAGTGCTAATAATTCCACGTTTTAGTATCTCCCTCTCCTCCTTCCTTCCTCCCTCCCTCCTTTCTTCTTTCCCTCTCTGTCTCCCCCTTCCCCCTCTCTCCCTCTCCCTCTTTCTTTTTCTTTCTTTCTTTTTCTTTCTTTCTTTCTTTCTTTCTTTCTTTCTTTCTTTCTTTCTTTCTTTCTTTCTTTCTTTCTTTCAAAAAAGTGACATAATGGCTTTCAGTTATGGTTCTACTCAGGAAATATGTGTCCATATTGCTTTTGTCTAGTTAGTCAGATACTCTGTAAGTGACATATAGGAGGTGAGATAAGATTGGGGGCCAGAATGCTTTCTCTTCCCTTGTCATCATTCTTATGCTTTGACATTTCTTTTTTTGAGTTGGAGTCTCACTGTGTCTCCCAGACTGGAGTGCAGTGGCCGCTCTTGGCCACTGCAGCCTCGACTTGCTGGGCTCTGGCGATCCTTCCGCCTCAGCCTTCCAAGTAGCCGGAATTACAGGCAAGTGCTACCACGCCCGGCTGATTTTTTGATTTATTGTAGAGATGAGGTCTCGCTGCCCAGGCGAGTCTCAAACCCGCGGGCTCAGGCAGTCCACTCACCTCAGTCTCCCAAAGGCACGGGATTACAGGCTGAGCCACCGAGCCCGGCATGCTTTGACATTTCAAATCAGTAATCAACAAACAACCAAAGGCAGCTGATGATCAATTCTTTGTTCTCCTCGGAGTAGCAGCACCCTTGCTTACTCTAGGGGTGGAATGTCATGGTAAGTATAAGTTAGATACACAAAGCCTAGTATTTGTTACATATGGAATTGATTGATTGAAAATTTGATTTCTATCTCACAGAACTCTTTAAAATGTTGCAGGAGAGAATGCATGCATAGCATGTGTTTGAATTAAGTGTAGTGTGTGCATTCTCAGTATTGTGAGGTAAACGTATCTTCAGATGGTTACTGGTATTTGGGGCAAGAAGTACCTATTACCTCCCATTATTTTAACATATGATTATTAGATTTCACTTAATTGGGGAAGAAGTACTATTTATTAAATTTTCATTGTAATAAATTTGTAGGATACAAACATAAACACATATGTTTGTAAACCTCGAACTGATTATTATATTTTACTATAATTATTATAATATGATTCTGAGACATTTCAAGGTTCTCTTTACCTGAATTTTGCTGGTATGGTTGATGGGGCCATATGGCTCTTAAGGATCTGAGTGTTTACTTTCCAGTCCTGTGACCCTCAGTAATTTAATAAAGTCCTTTGGGTATTTTTCTTCATCTGTAAAATGGAGATAATAATGGGTACCTACATCACAGGGATCTTGGAAGGATTAAAGGAGTTACTGATAAATGATTAATGATCATTAGTGATAAAATGCTTAGATAAGTGCCTGGAAACATTCAATACACTCTAGCTGCCATAATAGTAGTTATTAATTTTTTTATTATATAAATGTTGAAAGCATTCTGTAAATATACCTCATGGATTGATATCACAAATAAATTTTACTTAATTAAAATTCAAGATCTGTTTTCCATGTTCTACATATTAGCAAGGCATTGAGTCATTGAATTAACTCAGGGGTTGTTCACTGACTTGTGCTGTGGAATGTATTAGGCAGTTTGGAGAGTGCCTAAGTTTCCCTAAAATGCATGGTGTAAGATAGTAGGAAAGATGGCATCTGAGTCAGTGGCTTAAATATGCCTGAATCTGACATAGGGAATTGGCTTATTTGGGCTTAGGGAATCTTACACTTTGTATCAAATTGCACAACAAGCACATGCCTTTTGTTCTTAAACAGGTTTCTGCATGTTTGTACTGAGCTTGGTGAAGAAACATTATCGTCTGCAGTTTTATATGGTGCGTATTAACCATTGTTCTGCAGTCATTATGTAATAAAAACCCTTATGTTTCTCCTCTTGGTAAGAGGATACAGTTTAATCTACTAGTTTGTGTCTTGCCTGAATGTGAGGGATTTATTTATTTCAGATGACCAATAAATATAAACATGGAAGTTGAAAAGTTTCTGAAGATTTTAAAATTTTCAGATTTTTCTAAAAACTTTTACTCTGAGTATTTCCAAAGGCTGGAGCATCAAAGTAGTTGGATCCCTTAAATTTGTAGAAATTTGGAGAGTTTTCCTCGTCTCCTGTACAGTTTACTAAGTCTGGGAAACATTTGCCATGTTCTATGAAAGCCACTCTGTTTACTCGCTCTTAGCGTGAGCATAGGGAGCAGAGCATGTGTTTTCTTAGTTATGGTTAGTCATAGAATTGCATAATTCTTTTTGGCATAAGGTATTGTGTTCAATGTACTCAAGTCTATGTCTTGTAACATGTATTACTCTACATATTAATTGTTTTCTTAACTGTAGCAGATTTTAAAACTGTGCAATGCAATGATTATTCAGACCTGTTACTTCATGTATTAGTAAGGCTTATTCTGGATTTGCAATATATTTTCTATTCTTTAGCCTTGCTTTTCTCCATTAAGACATTCTGCTGAGCATAATTGCTGGGAAATTGTGGTGTTTCTTACATCTGTGTTTCAAGGGATCTGAGAGTAAAGAGTAAAATTCTTAGTGCAAATCTAGAAACAATCAAGACATATCAGCGATAGTAGAATCTCCAATGAAAATAGAAATGGTGCCTATTGGGAAAAAAATCTGATGCATTTTGAAGCAACCAGAGTAAAAGACAACTGAATCTTTTAAACAGATCAAAATAGAATAAAATAAAACAACCAGTATAACGTATTATTTGCTGAAATAAGAAACAGATTTATTCAAAATGAATCTAAATCCCAAGAATTTTAAAAAATGATTTTATAAATTCCAAGCAAAATTATCAGACCAGTACTTGGAAACATTAACTCCCTTTTGTTTACATTCTGCTTATATTGATTATGTTAAAAGTCATTAGAGTGGCCATCTCTCAGGCTAGATGGAATTAATGAAACACGAGGTCTTTGAAAAGTTTGAAGCTGAATACTGTCCTTTAACAGGCTTGGTAAGATAAACTTTCAAGTATGAAAGTATGGTGCTTAAAGGCAGTTGAACCGTGCTGGCTTGAATCATGTGAAGTTTGAAATAGCTCTTTATGAAAAAAAATTAACCACAGTAAACTCTGAAAGAAAAATAACTTTTAGTATTTTTCTTAACTACAGATGCAGAGTAAAATGTTCCTCTTTAAATATGTTAACACTATAAATTTCTCATTGTCACTTAAGTCTAATGATTCACCATTATGTTTTATTTTTCACATGTGTTTTAAAATCTAGTTGTATGGTTATTATTGCATTCTATTTGTTTATGAATTAGATTACTTTGTTACATGTTTTCATTATTTTAAAGTTCCAATAGGCAACAGAATGAATATAATTTACTAACCGCATTTTTATGACTTTTATCTTACATATTTTGACCAAAAGTCATGGTAGAAATTTGTGTTTCAAGATTGTTGTTTCTTCTTTGGCTGCACTGATCAGTTATGTTCACTAATTTTTGTGTTGGGCTGTTAACAGTTCGCATGGACTCATGTCACTTTACTGATAACCGTTACTCAGTCACACCTTGTCATCCAAAATCTGTTTGAAGGCATGATATGGTAAGGGAATAGACTTATGCTGCTTTATGTCTATGTCATAGCACTTTTAAAGCTCTTTCACATTAGATTGCTTCTTGCCAATTTCTACTAAAATGTACTGTTTATTGTTCATATATCCTATTAAAATGTCTCATTGAGTTTTGCTTACTATTTGACAACTGAAGACAAAATGCTTCATTAACAACTGGAAATCTTTCTTACTCAGGTTCCAAATAAAATGCAGAAAGTTCCCATAAAAGTTTTAAGCCATTAGTTACATTTTCAGATGTCAATAAACCTTGATGTAACTTTTCACAAAGGACAGACTTTAAAGATATTATTTACATGGAATGCAAAGGAAATATGAAAGTTCACTTGTCAGTGAATAGTGTGCCGAAATGCATTTTTTCCCTAGGTGAAAGTTGAGTGGCTCCTACTTTGCTTTATGTAGGAGGAGTTTTGCAGCTTTCAGAAGTTACTTGCCCTATGGCAGTGGCTTGTATACTAGTTAAAAGTTATAAAACTTATTACTTAAAAATTAGTTGAAATGGAGAAAAAGCTTATGATTAAGAAAAATTTGACACTACTTTTCCCATGTTCATTTTAAACTCATTAATTAAAATATTTTACAGTTGATCTTTATCAAGATAAATTTTATTCCCTTGACAGCTTCATGTTTTTTTTTCAAGAGAGGTGTGTGCATGTGTGTGTGTGTATGTGTGTGTGTGAACAGTTGCAATCATTTTATGATTGTCTTCCATATATCGTGCAGACTTTTAACTGATGAGGAGTAGTTATGAAGTAAGTGGGTTCTGTGCATTTAGTAGAGTGTAATGCATTCATAAGGTAAGAGGGATAGAGTTAAAACTGATAACTTTCCTGCCGGGCACAGTGACTTACCCCTGTAATCCTAGTACTTTGGGAGGCCGAGGTGAGAGGATTACCTGAGCCCAGGGGTTCGAGACCAGGCTGGGCAACATGCTGAGATCTCATTTCTACAAAAAAATTTTTAAAAATTAGCCAGGTGTGGTGGCACACACCTGTAGTTTCAGTTACTTGGAAAAAGGCGGAAGGATTGCCTAAGCCCAGCAGGTGGAAGCTGCGGTGGCTGTGAGCATGCCACTGCACTCCAGCCTGGGTAACAGAGACTCAAAAAATAAAAAATTTTTTTTTTCTGAAAGAGAATTGTGTTAAGAGCTTGGTATGAATTTATTGGATTATGCTCTGTCTAAACAAGTGACTCATTTCCATACTAAAAGGCTATTTTTCTTAAGATGAACTTTAATCTGCCTTTATTTGTTTATAGCTTGTTCCTCATAAAACTAAAATTTAAATGTCCATAACTATAGAAATATTGGATAATTTAAGGTATTCCTTAATAATTGTCTCTTAATATGTTAGCTTATTTATTGATTTCTGGGTGGATATCTGGAACTCAGTGGTATGGGGATAGGTAGAAAGGGTGCAGGAATGGAAGGTGCTAGTTGCCCACAGGTTCTGTTTATGGTAAGTTCTGTTATGTGGATGGGGATTTGGTCATCAGATCATTGATGGGGACAGAAGCCAAGCATCAGAGTGAAGTTTCTCAAGACAGAAACGGGTTACAGGCTAAGCTATGAGAACTCTTTATAGACCTCTTGGCCTGATGTTCATGAAGCCTAAAACCAAAACAGCGGCAGAAATGGTTTCTTGACCAATCTGATAACAGTTTTGCCATGGAGAAGAGACAGACACACCTCCTTCAAGAATGGTTTTGCATTACTCCCATGAAGCTTAAATACTTAAGTTGCTACATGGACAAATTTGGTTGATATTTATTATTTCTACAAATGTTTTGGCAAGTGTTATGTTCTGGACGAGGCTACCATGCAATCCAAAGTTTCTTCCATTAGTCATTATGAGTCATAGCCTGTAGGAATATTTACCACTTAATCATATGATCTTTTTTCTGCTGACTTTTTTTTTAATACAGGTTCCTTGTTCCAATATCAAGCGTTATCTGCAATGATATCACTGCTTACCTTTTTGGATTTTTTTTTGGAAGAACTCCATTAATTAAGGTAATGGAAAATTATTATAAGCAAGTCACTACCATAACCTCTGAGATTAGCTCTTGGAGAACATTTCCAACAACTTGGTGCTGTTGACTTTTTTTTTTTTTCAATCTCTGAGATGCTTTGCTTTTCCTTAGCTGCATTTGGTAGCTGCAGGGTAGGAGCAGTGAGCCATATCTCCAAATCATTCCACCTGGGTTCTTCCTCAGGCATTCTCTTGGTTCCTCTATAACGGCTGGACTCCGTCAGGTGTCCTCTCCCTCGTGAAGACTCTTTTCGTCTTTCTGTAGTTTCTTTCTTGCAGCTCTTTGGTGCAGCTCTTCCTCATATTGCCCAACAAACCTATGCACAAGCCTTCCTTGACTCTGCTCTTCCCTCAAGCTGCCTCATCATCCCTCCCCTCCTTTTCCCATCTTTCTAAAAGAATCAAGTACACTGTCTTCACATGCTCATGTCCATTTGTAAGACTTAAACATCAAACTCATTTCAAGCAAAAGATTTTGAGACCTACAATAAAATATTGATAAAATGCAAGTAATAATGGAAGGTTAAAACAAGAGAAGAAAGTACACAGGAGCAGACTGTGTTATTTTGCCTTGGATTTGGTTCTGTTTATAGGCAAAGAAGGATAAGAACAGGAGGCAAAGAAGGAAAAAAACTAAGTTTTTAGATCTCATTTGGGGGAAGAAGTAAGTCAGTCCTTCATGGAAGTCAAGCCATTTTATGGAACTGACTTATTTGTTTTATTTTACAGATGTGGGGTACAATTCAGGGTTAGGTATACAAATGTTCATTATGTAGGTACTCTTGTTGCTGTGTGCCCTCCCCAGAACTGATTTCTTAAAAAAGAGTTGCTTATGCTGGGGCTTCAGATAGCATTCACTCGATTTGCATATTAAGCAAAGGCTATTACAATAGTCTCACAAATATATTAGGTGGTTGTTTTGATATTTTTATATGGGTAGTTTTAAAGGAATTGAGACTGTTGTTCAAATAGAAAAAGTTTCTGTCCAGAGTGGTGTGGGGGTGGTTTAGCATTCACAGAGGCATTCATGGACTCCCTGGTCCTTCAAAAAACCTTCCATAAACTCCTCCTTTGGAACACACAGAGAGTATCAGCTGAGAGCATCAGCACACACAGAGCATCAGGCTGAGCTGCAGAGATACTGGCAAGCAAACTATAAGTTTTAAAGATGTTTCTACACCTGCTTCAAAGTAGGTGTGATGTAATATTCAAGATTGAGTTCAGCACACACTAAGAAGTTTTTGGTTTCAGAAAGGTTGTTGCAGCTGTGGAAGAATCTCAGCGACTGATTTAAACATAGCTTTCAAGTGAATTTACTAGACTGGATTAGTTATATAATATATCTAGATAATTTAACAATTAACTCCCAATCAATATGAATCAATTTAATGTGATAAGCTATCTTTAAAATAATCATTAGAAACTTTTGAATTTGAGTACACTTCTACTTTATGATAGTAATACAAAATCATTCTAGAGAAAGGTGTATCTGTCCCTTCTCCATGGCAGAATTGTTATCAGATTGGTCAAGAAACCATTTCTGCCAGCTGTTTTGGTTTTAGGCTTCATGAACATCAGACCAAGAGGTCTATAAAGAGTTCTCATAGCTTAGCCTGTAACCCGTTTCTGTCTTGAGAAACTTCACTCTGATGCTTGGCTTCTGTCCCCATCAATGATCTGATGACCAAATCCCCATCCACATAACAGAACTTACCATAAACAGAACCTGTGGGCAACTAGCACCTTCCATTCCTGCACCCTTTCTACCTATCCCCATACCACTGAGTTCCAGATATCCACCCAGATTTCTCTCCCTAAATTGCCCCATTGACTGGGCAACAACAGCCTGAATATGAAACAAACAGGATCTGTTCTTAAAAGAACAACGTGTCTCTTTCTTCCTGGAGAAAGACGTGAATTGTGTGAAAAAAGGGGGTTGAATGTATGAGTACTGAAGAACATTCAATATTTGGGGCTGTGCAGTATTTTGCCATTTCAGAAAAGAGATCTGTGTGGATAGCATATTAGGAATATATGGAAATCTCATATGCTAGAGTGTTCATATTTTGTTGTACTCATTCTGTTTTTGGTCAGTAGGGCAGTACTGACCATGTTACTTGGAATTAATATATCTCCATCTTTTTCCCACGAACTTATGTCAAAGATTATAGAATTTTATATAAGCCTAAAAGTTATGGGATAGTTATTTCAGTATACAGTCCTTTGAGAGGAAAAAAACAGTTAAGTTGAGGGTATTTAATAGGAACAAACTTATAGTTACAGCATGTCAGATCTTTGAAGGCCTATGTTTTTATATTCTACTAGGGAGATTTTCATTAGTAAATCAGGATAATTGAAAGAAGGAAAAGGGTTTTGAATTATTCCAATAAGAAAAAAGTAAGAAAAGATGTACGAGGTATTGAGAACTCCTTGAACAAAGTTTGCATATGTATTGTGTATTTTATGAGTGCAGTAATGCTTTTTAATATTATTTGGCTTTTTTCAGTTGTCTCCTAAAAAGACTTGGGAAGGATTCATTGGCGGTTTCTTTTCTACAGTCGTGTTTGGATTCACTGTGAGTTTTACTGGGATTTTTACTTTATGTATATTTTGAAAAACTATACCAAGTTTATTAGTGTATCCTAAGCCTAAAAGAATTAAACCACAAAATGCTAATGATACATTAATTGAAACCTACTGAGTAAAACCAATTCTGTATCTCAGTACCTCTTATCCTGACTGCATGTAGAATCCTGGAGAACTTAAACAAAATCTATGTCTCAGCCTTATCCCTGGCCAACTACCTTCCCCAGGTAGTTCTAATGTACAGCCAGGCTTGAGATCCACTGTTGTGCTTTATGTTTTAGTAGTTTCTAGTAGCTGTTCTGTCTTATGGGGGACACAAGTGCTGCGACAGGTGGTGGCTATGAGTAATAGCAGAGAATGCAAATGAGCTCTGCTTTGTTAACACACTTGGCTAATGGGTGGTTACTGCTGTGAGCCCAATTTGCAGGAAGAGTCTGTTAATTATAAATCATTAATGCTCACTTATAGTCATGAATAATGACTATTATTCATGTTTCATGTTTTAAAAGTTAATTTACATTTATGGAATTTAGGTTTTTGTTAAAAGGTATCTAGTAAAAATCAATAAGGCTACAGCAAAATGACTGGATATAAGATAAATATACAAAAATACTATTAGGGAGTTTAATTTTTTTAACAGTCTAGTCTCTAAAATTTGTAGTTATTTTCTGTATCCAAATATAGAGTAGTAACAACCATGACAGCCTCGACCTACTGGGCTCAGGCATTCCTTCTGCCTCAGCCTTCTGAGTAGCTGGAACTACAGGTGTGTGCCACTACCCCAGCTAATTTTTTGATTTAGTGTAGAGATAAGGTCTCACCTTGTTGCTCAGGCTGGTCTCGAACCTGTAGGCTCAGGCAGTCCTTTCACCTCCACCTCCCAAAGAACTGGGATTACAGGTGTGGGCCACTGTGCCCAGCCCAACATGAAATTTTGAGAGGGAGCAAATATATAGATAAATGATCCTGATGAGGAAACCACCATAATTTGTCTGTTTAGTTTATAAATTTAGCTCGTTCTCAGTAAAATTCCAATAGAATTTGAGTTTTTGTGGTAAAATATTGATTAGATAATAATTGACAAGTGGGACAATGAGAAATAATTTAATCCTATGTTTTTTACATTACATGGTAAGTCAATTAAAACATTAAGTTAATTCTATAAGACTAGGTTATTATTAAAAACTAGGAAATACTACAGGGATAACCATGTCATTGGAAGAAGTTAAAGAGCTACTCCATAAGAATGAATGGCAAAATATAAGGAAGGAAATTATGTAATTTTTCTAATAAATGGTTTTGAAGAAATTGGTTGTTTGGAAGCAAAATCAGTCTATATTTCCTAATGCCATCTGAATTTCTGTTAATCATTCTCAAACAAAATAATAGGCAGAATGACTGCAAGAAAAATAGAATAAACTATGCAGTTTAAATTTATAAAAAGATATTTTATCTTAGGTATCTTTTTACTTCCATGACTGAGGGCAGCTCATTTTAAAAATTGCAGTGAGGAATCGGGCACAGTGACTCACGCCTATAATCCCAGCACACTGGGAGATGGAGGTGAGAGGATTGCCTGAGTCCAGGGGTTTGAGACCAGCCTGGGCAACTCAGCAAGACCTTGTCTCTACAATAAATCAAAAATGAGCTGGGTGTGGTGACATGTGCCTGTGGTTCCAGCTACTTGGTAGGCTGAGGTGAAAGGATCGCCTAAGCCCAGCAGGTTGAGGCTACAGTGGCCATAAGCATGCTACTGCACTCTATCCTGGGCAACAGAGTGAGACTCTTCCTCAAAAAAGAAAAAAAATTGCAGTGATGTAACCAGGGAAAGAATAATTTAGTCAAAGTATTCTGAACTGGCTAAAAACAATGATGTTTTTTCACCTATACTATTTTATATTTCCTAATCACTGGTTAATTATTAACTGATGAAATTAATAAAATCTTGTTTGCAACAAATGTCAGCCCTTTTTGTATACCCTTATAACTATGGTCATACAGAGTTACAGTCTCGATTTAAAAAAAAAAAAACTTGGCCAGGCATGGTGGCTCAAGCCTATAATCCTAGAACTTTGGGAGGCAGAGGCAAGAGGATTACCTGAGCTCAGGGGTTCGAGACCAGCTTGAGCAACATGGCAAGACCTCGTCTCTACAATAAATCAAGAAATTAGCCAGGCATGGTAGTGCGTGCTTATAGTTCTAGCTACTTGAAAGGCTGAAGCAGAGGGATTGCCTAAGCCCAGTAGTTTGAGGCTGTGGTGGCCATGAGCAGCGTGCCACTGCACTCCAGCCTGGGCAACAGAGTGAGACTCCAACTCAAAAAAACAAAAAACAAAAACAAAAAAACCCCACCTCTTTCCTTTACTAAAGGTCGTTCAGGTCTTTTACTGGGAAAATTATGACCATCTAACTTTGAAAATGCATAGCAGAATATTGTCTAATAATTTAAATTGTAATACAGAGAAATTCTGACATTCTATTTCTGGCATTTCTGACATATAACTTAAAACATATATCTTTAGGCAATATTTCATGAGCTCTTGCTTTGTTATTCAGGCTGCTTATGTGTTATCCAAATACCAGTACTTTGTCTGCCCGGTGGAATACCGAAGTGATGTCAACTCCTTTGTTACTGAATGTGAGCCTTCAGAACTTTTCCAGCTTCAGAGTTATTCACTTCCACCCTTTCTAAAGGCAGTGTTGAGACAGGTAAGAGTAATAGTTAAGATAAACATGATTGGGGATCTGCCACTCCAAAGATTAAACTTCCTTTAAAAGTGGGATTCAGGGCCGGGCTTGGTGGCTCAGCCTGTAATCCCATCACTTTGGGATGCTGAGGCGAGTGGATTGCCTGAGTCCACGGGTTCGGGACCAGCCTGGGCAACTTGGCAAGACCTCATCTCTACAAAAAATGAAAAATTAGCTGGGCATGGTAGTGCATACCTGTAGTTCCGGCTACCTAGAAGGTTGAGGCGGAAGGATCGCCTGAGCCCAGCAGGTCGAGGCAGCGGTGACTATGAGTGTGCCACTGCATTCCAGCATGGGCAACAGTGAGACTCCATCTCAAACAGTAAATAAACAAATAAAATAAATAAAATTAGTTTTTTTCCTAAAGCATGTGTAAAGGTTCTTTGAAGCCTTGCACTGAAAGATGTTGACATGCCCTCTAGAAGAACCCTCCTGATCCCTGTCATTAGACTGGGAACATTAGACTGGCTGGTTGGCTAAAATGGGGAATCAGTCATGAATGTGTTTGTTTGTATCTGAAAATTTTATTTTAACTAAAATTCATAATTTTTGAGAAGTAAATTAGCCAACAAATTATTTATCTCCTTGAATGCTCAATATGTGGATTCCAAGATATTTTTCCATGTCTGAGCTGTTACCTGCTATAAAACTTCTGATGCTGCTAATGTTTGATAAAGACCAAGGCTATTGCTTTGATACAGTTGCTAAAATTGGTGTTTTCAAACATCTTTCTTGAACTACACCCGTCAAGCACTGTCTGTAATTTATGGTTGTAGGCTATTTAAAAAGGAACAAGAACTATGAATTTGCAAAATAATTGAACTATAGAATTCTTCTCATTTTTTATAATCCTCTCCCTAAATATTTTGTAGTTGTCTCATTGATGCTCATTTTGGTAGTTCTCTTTAAGCTTCTTATTTTTGTGTGTTTCTATAGCATTTAACTTAGTTTTAAGAGAAAAGGCCCACTTTTCCCTTATTTCCTCATATAAAATTAAAGTGAACAACCAAAAATAATTATAAAATACAATATTAAAATAAATTATTTAATTACAAAAACAAAGGACTATTCATAAAAAAAATTAAATTTAGAAGTGAACTCAGCTGCTTCTTAGTAAGCCTACCACCCAGTTGTTGTTGAAGTTCTAGATAAGTTAGAAGGTAGCCTGCCAGCTGTAAGAGTTCAGCCTGCCGGTGACTGTCCCTGTGCTTGCTGGGAGACTGGAGAAGATGGGGCAGAGAGCTTACCATACATTGTTCTCCCATAAACCTTAATGTTTGTGAAATTAACAAAAATGTGGTATATGCTTTTACCTACTGTTTATATCATGGTTCTTATATTAGGTGGCATGTTCAAGTACAAGTTTAATAATGTTAGTACCATGCCTACCCTTCTTTCTCCTCTTTAGGAAACAGTGAGCTTGTATCCTTTCCAGATTCATAGTATTGCTCTGTCAACATTTGCATCTTTAATTGGCCCATTTGGAGGATTCTTTGCCAGTGGATTCAAAAGAGCTTTCAAAATCAAGGTGTGTGTTTAGATTCTTTGTTGCATTATTAGAGAATGTAACCTAGTTGCAACTTGGTTCACTCTTGGTCTACATTAAGACCCTAGATAAAAACTTTTACATCTTACTTGTTTCATCCTCACAGAAAGGCTGCCTAGCTGATATGAGTACATTCTTTCTCATTAGGTTTTGGTCATACTGTGTTAATACATTTTAAGTGTTAGGTCAGCTTCGTTTATAGAAGTGGGATGGGATGCACCCCATAATGTTGGTTTAGACACAGAATCTTGGTCTTGCAAGTGCTCATCCAAGAATCCAGATCTGAATCATCTGAGGCTTAGTGTTTTGCCACAGTCTCACTTGATGGTTATGCAGAAGAGCCTCTGGATAGGTCACCATTTATTCTGCTAGATCAGGGGTCATCAGACTCTTTCTGTTTGAAAGAGTTTGATGTTCTGTTCTTCAGGTTTTGCAGACCATATGTTCTATTGCAGCTTCTCAACTCTGACTTTGGATGTTGTAGTGTGAAAGCCCCCATAGACAATATGTCAGTGAATGACTGTGGCTGGGTTTTAATAAAACTTAATTTATAAAAAATAGGCTAGATTTGGTCTCTGGGACATAGTTTGCCCAACCCTGCCCCAGATACTTAAAATTATCCCTACATGTTATGTAAGATCATCATAAAGCCACATGCTATCTCCGAAATATTAGCTTAGCCTCTCACACATGGCTTCATTAAGCTGGGGTGGAATGTTGTGCCATTCAGGGCTTAGAGAGCAGCTGTTGAAGGTGGGGTGATCGGGGAAGGCCTTTCTGCATAGGTGCCACATAGCAGAGATCTGAGGGAAAAGGAGAATAAGTCCTGCAGAGAAATCTGTGCAAGAGCATTCCAGAGAGCACAGAGGAATGGAAAAGGTTGGCCTGTTTGAAGCTGAGCTAGAACGCGTGGCTGTGGGCAAGAGCAGGAAATGAGGCTGCAGAGTCGAGTGGGGCCAGACCAGGTCGGGCCTGAGAGGCTAGGAAAATCAGTTTCCTCGGTGAGCACTTGCTGTGGGGAAGTTACCATGTAAGGTGGAATGCAGTATATGAAAGCATACAAGGTGTCATCCCTGTTTTCAGGATACTCACTGCCTGCTAGGGGGCACAGCATAGGTCCACAGAGAATCCAGCAGCTGCCGTGCAGGATAAGCGTCTTGCGAAGTACTGCCAGCAGCAGAGTGGCACTGGGTTCCCACAGCTCTGTCATGCTTTCAGATAGTACGGAAGGGCAGAAATTAGTTGGCAAAAACTGACCAAAGAATTTTTCAATAGTTGTTTTAAACAGAGAAATATTATATTTAGGATGGTACTTTTTTTGATGTCTTCAATTAAAGGTTTTTTGTTGAATTTCGGCATTTTTTTGGCGTGCCTGAAATGAAGGAGCTATTGCTATTGCATTTGAGATGTTTCAAAGAGTGATTAGTCATGTGCATTTCTGGGGCACTCAGACACGTGGATATATCTGTACAGAGTCAGTGTGTAGAGACTTAATACCTGTTCCCTCAGTTTGGCCATTCAATGGCTAACGTGTCCCAAATAAGCTAGCTGTGATTTTCTTTTTACCCTAACACTTTAAAAAAAGAAGAAATACTTATCATAGCAGTAAAATGTTTATTTCAGAGTAAGAACTGTTAGGATAAACATGAGTTGGAACCAGTTATACATCTGTCAACAACACTAAAATAGCTCCCCAAATAGTTACACAGAAGGATAGGCTATAACAAAATTTGATTAGCAATAGCTGATAGAATTTTTATTTAGAAAAAGTTTTAACTAAGAAAAGTCGTGTTAAATTTAAGTGTTTATTTAGTGTTGAAGACTGTGGGTCAGTTCAGAAATCATTCTAAAATGGGAATGTATTTGGAAGATGTGGTTTTGATCTCTTGGGACATATTCTATTAAGTTTGTATTTAGTAAAAAAATTCAAGAGTGAAGTATTTTCCTTACAGAATGAGTCCATGATGCCAAAGAGACACTTACAGATAGGAATGTTATTACTGGTGATTTTTTGAAAATTTGCTAACATATTTGTTTGTTTTTAAAGGATTTTGCAAACACCATTCCTGGACATGGTGGAATAATGGACAGATTTGATTGTCAGTATTTGATGGCAACTTTTGTGCATGTGTATATCACAAGTTTTATAAGGTACTTTTACATTAAAAAAACTTTTTTAAGGTGATTTCTTTGAGTTTTCATCTCCATTGGCGTGAGTTTCAATAAGTTAACTCTTTCTGTCGATGGGAATCTGTAATATCAAAATGAATGGGTGGCCCCTGGAGGTGTTCCTTGAGTGGGATGGTTAAATTGTCATTGTTTTACATACATTTGAGCAAGTTTAAAAAAACAATAGTATATATCAGGACCAAGTTAAATATCCAGTTAATATGCATGGTATTGGATTTGAAAGGTGAAAATATTTAATTTCTCAACTGTGGGCATGGTAATGATCATGAATGTAAGAGTTAAGAAGGAGGAGAACATAATTCATTCAGTCTGCCAATTATTGCTCAAGTACCTGTCACGTCATGGAAAGTTCTAGGCATGAAGATAGCAGAAAACAGAACAAATCCAGTCTTTGCCCTCAGTTTTTTTGTTGGAGGTGGGGTTGGAAAGAAAAGGACAATAAACAAATAAGTAGTATAGTTTGTTAGATCATAAGTACTATGGATAAAAATATAGCAGACCAGGGCATCGTGGGAGTGTATGGGGGTAGCTGGCAGGTGGGTGGATGGGTGTTGCTATTTTATATGGTATGGTGGTCCATTCTTGTTATTAAACCTTAATATTTTGGGTCTGCCTTAGAATACCAATTTGGGTGTGAAGGCCAACCACATAAACCACATGTTAATTTTATTTTCTGTGGTTTCTACTCACCCAACAGACAGAACACTTATTAATAGAACCTGAGCCATATAAAACATGGATTTTCTTAGAGATATTTGGAGGGAAACTCATATTCAGAGATCGCTAAATCCACATTTTAAATATGTACCCATAGCAGTGTGAGAATTTTTGTATTAACTTTTTTGGGGGAGGCAGTCTTACTAAGGGTTTATCAGTTTCATTAGTCTTTTCAAAAAATCATCTGATTTTGCTAAATTTCTTTACTGTGTATTTTCTACTTCATTGATTTTTCACTCTCATTTTCATTCCTTTATCCTTTTTTTGGTTCAGTTTTCTGTTCTTTTTCTAGTTTCTTGAGACAAAGTTTAGACTGATTTTCAGCCTTGCCTAGTATATCTGTTAAGACTATAAATTTCCTCTTAAGTAAATCTTTAACCTCACCCTACAAGATATGATATTTGTATTTTCATTATTCAGTTACAAATATTTTCTTGTCTCCAGCATTGTGTCTTCTTTAACATGTAGGTTATTTAAAAGTGGACTGATTTGTGTCCAGACAAATGCAAATTTCTTCATTTTCCTTCCTGTATTGTTATTTGCGTTAATTCCATTGTGGTTAGAAAAGACACCCTCTATGATTTCAGTATTTAATGGTTTTGGAGACTTTCTGGCTCATCATATTGTTTATTCTGGTATGTTCCACGTGCTCATGAAACAAATGTGCGTTCTGCAATTATTGGATGTAGTGTTGGATATGTCAGTTGGGTGAAGTTTAATTAAATCTGTACTGGTTTGGGGGGACTTTGTTTTGGGGTTTTTTGGTCTGCTTATTCTGTCAGTTACAAAGAGAGCCAAATTTCTCTCACTGATTGTAAATTATCTTTTTTTATTTCTATTACTGTACATTTTTGCTTTATATCTTTTGAGGTTGTTAGTTATATGCAAATTTAAGATTGTTGTATCGGTTGAATTGATGCTTTTGTCATTATATAATAGCACCCTTACTACTTGTTTTCAAGCCTACTTTGTTGGGTATTAGGATAGCTACATCAGCTTTCTTTTGGTTAGTGTTTGCATAGTGCTTCCTTGTCTCTCCTTTGATTTTTAGCATACCTTTCTCCTTGTATTTAATGTATTTCTCTTTTCTCTTCAAACAGGCATATAGCTAACTGTTTTTGTGTCGGTTTTGCATACTCAGTTGACAGTATTTGTCTTCTTAATTGGAGTATTTAGCCTATTTGAATATCATTTATTTATTGATACATTTCTGTTTTAGTAATTAGTGGTTAAATCTTTAGAAATTTATTTCCTGAAAATGGCAGTTTTTAGGACATGAACTCCTACTCTTTTCTAAACGATCTGCTGTTCTCTCAGCAGAGGGAAGTCCTACTGGGCTATGCTGTCCACTGTTCAAAGCAGATCTGTAGACTATGAGAGATATAGTGAGAATGCCAGGATGCAGCCAGCTGGGAGCACCTGCTTGCACCATTTTGCATGTAGCTGAACTGGCTAGAACAACCTTCCTTTTCTCGGTGGATCCCCACTCTGGGTTTATGCTATGAAGTTGCTAAATCTTTTGAAGAAATGAAATAAGACAAGCTGTGTCCAGACTTGAGCCTGAATGGTATAATGGCCACAGTGTTTTTTTGGCAAATGAGTTGAGCCATATGCATGAAGGTGACCCACGGGATGGCTACCCGAGGCTCTTGTGCAATTTTTAGTCAAGATTTTTAAAGTAAATAGTTCCTCTACTCATCCTCACTGTGATACCACTATATAGCAGGCATTTCATTGCTGCTGGGATTTCTGCTTCCTGTGATTCTATTTGAACTGGCTTTACTGTAAATCATACATTGATTTACCCATGGAAATATCTTCTCAGAATTCTGTGCATCCTCCATATATTACTTACATTTTGCTTTTTCCCATTGGATTTTAAAGCAGATCAGCTTTGATTTTGTTTTCTGTAGACTTTCTTTGAAGTCTGTGGCACCTAGTGCATATCTCAGGTAGGGTCTTCAGTGCTGGGCTCAGGGCTCTTGTGTTCTCTGTCTTGGACATTCAAATTCCCTGGGAATATTTCTTTAACAAAGTCCCTTCCGTAGTATAAAGTTACTTGAAGCTAAACATTTAAGTTTTGTTTGTATGCCTTCCTTTTTATTTATCCTTCATCCACCAGGCTTCTTTTCTTACATAATAGTTTTTGTGTCTCGTCTAGTCTCATGCCTGTCCCCCCCCTAATGTATGTTGCTCTTTTGAGAATGTCCATGGAACTTAGATCAGCACCGCTAAACTGCTCTATATTGATCCTGGGCTTGTGCCTTCTTTCCACATCTAGGCTGTGTGCTTCTCAGAGTTCTGGGTGCTTTATCCCCTTGACACAAACATTGGATACTCAAGTGAGCTCTTATTAGCTGTTTTAATTCCATAAAGATGGCCACTCTGCCCCTGAAAGAAATGATTTATTTGAAATCAGGGGTATGTACTTCATTTAGTCCTATTAAAATAGTATGAACTCTGTCTTCTCTGCCTTATCAGGGGCCCAAATCCCAGCAAAGTGCTCCAGCAGTTGTTGGTGCTTCAACCAGAGCAGCAATTAAATATATATAAAACTCTGAAGACTCATCTCACTGAGAAAGGAATCCTGCAACCCACATTGAAAGTATAACTGGATCCAGAGGGGGAAGGACTGACGAGAAGAAATTCTGCAGAAAAGCACTGACAGATAAAACTTTGTAATTGTACAGAAAACGGTTGAAAATGCAATAGATTGACATTTTACGACATGAATGTTTCTCTCTGAAATTACTGTGAATATTTAACCAACACTTACTTGATCTAAGTTATGAAATAAGTAGCAAATCGCCAGCAAAATACCCTGTTGTTTTTCTAAAGTGTATTTTCTGATGTGAACTTCCTTCCTCTTACTTGCTATGTTTCATAATTTAAAAGACTTATATTTGAAAGAACCAAACACTATAAAATAGTACATTGAGGATGTCTTGAGATCACACCTGGCAGTGTGCCCTTTTGCACAAATTATTTACTCTTGCACTTAAATTAAGAGTTGCTCTTAATTTTAGCAAAATGTCTTATTGGAAGGCACAACAGGAAGTCAGTTCTCCTGGGCTTCCTCCTCATGTAGTCTGAAGTATTTTATAAAAGACTTAGTTGGATCAAAGGAAAAAAAGGATTGTTGACTTTGCAAAGAAGTAATCATTTGCAAGGGAGAATAGTCTGCTCTTGGGTAGGTACAAAATTAAGCAGAGGGACACTAAAATCTCAGCCATGACTGGTTTGTTAGTAGGAGCTGCTGTCAAACTCTACTTCTGATCAAATTGTTTGGGAAAAAACGACCTTGCAAAAGCTTTTCAAGAGAGTTCTGCTGTGAAGAGCACAATGTACAGATCCCCCGCAGATGATCTCAACAGAGGGCAGCAGCTCAGGGGACAGCCACAGAACAAGGCGTGAGGCATAGGCCACCTGCTGGCCACGTGCTCTCCTGTTGCTTGGTTCCCTGTGAACTGGCTCCCCTAAGTCCTGACCACGAGCACATAGCAAGGTCGGCGTAGGGTGGCAAGGCACGGTGGCAACTGGGGCAGGGCAGGAGATGCTCAACTGAGAAGAAGTGACTCGCTCCCCGTCCCGGCTGCTCCTCCAGGTGTCCAGTGCATCCTGCTGGCGCCTCACCGAGCAAGGAGGAAGATCTGCCTGGAGACTCCGTCCCCGGCTAGCTTCCTGGAGTGGCTAACCTTTGTCTGTTGCTCTCTCGAATCATGTTATAAAATCTGATGACATCAACTGGTCATTTTTTCTTCCAAGAATAAAAATCAAGCAGATGTGATTCCTACCAAGAACAAAAAGCACACAAATGCCAAACCTTCTCTTTGGTAGACTGGACACTGGAACCAGAGAGTCCATTTCTTATCAGTTGACATAAATGAGTGAGTGTTGCTGTGTGTTCTGGACACCTGCATTTATTATATTAAACAGCCAACACTAAAGTTTCAACAGTTGCCCGGTGCTTCTGGTTAGATGTTCAGAGGGGAAAAATAGCTATATTTTGAAGAATGTTTTGCTAATGAAGAGAGTAAATATTTTTGTTTAAATCAACAAATTTTAATTATTTTATTTTTCCGTCCAACAACTAGACTTAAACAACAGATCACAGACCTGCCTGGGCTCCACAAATGCCATCCCCCAGCCAGCAACTTCATCACGTGTCACATGATTAGAGTGGGCTCCGGCACACTCAGGGCCAGAAGTCCCACTTCTTGGTCTGACAGGCATTTTGTTCATGAGTCATCACTGGATGTGTTCCATTGGCCTATTTTACACTATTCCATAAAAATCTAGATCTGGTATTCGAAATGTTATTACAGGAGGGCATGATCACTTTAAAAATCAGGCCACCTACAAGTTAATTTTCAACATCTCGTGTTTTAATTTTCCCATTAACAGTTTCAACTGTTGGTCATAAAAGAATTTAGGATGCCAAAGTTTAAAAAGTAAAATGAGAATTTTGTGCTAGGAACTTAACTTTAAAAAGTTGGTAGTCTGTGTAAGCAAGAACTCCTTAGAAATACACAGAAGACTGCTATATTTTTACTTAAAGTAATTGGTGAGGCATTGAGATACAGAATTATAAGAGCATTGCTGAATACAGATATTATCAGTAATTATTATAAACAAAATATGAAGCTAGAAATAGTTGGAGTCCCAATAATAACTTTTCTCAAATATACTTTTAGAGTTGGGTGTACATCATCCTATATGTACAAAAGTAAATTCTTAATTTTAACGGAACTCTAATGATTGACCTTTTTAGCATACTTTTATAGCATGTACATTAAAATAGAATATATTTTAGCAAAAGATTGCCACAAAAACCTGACTTTAATCATTTTTATATTTGCACTGTGAATAGGGCTTAAATTTCAGTGTATTGATGTGATGGTGGAAAATTGACAAACTAGGAATTTCTTTCACAGTAATGACTCATTGTTCCAAATTTGCTACTTTGGGAGATACTCCTGTGGTATTCCTTGCTTGATTTTCTAACCTGTGGGATGCAAATGGTTCTTCAGTGCTTTTCCCCTTGTGGTGGTGCATATACATTTACTATCTGAGAGTAAATGGCCACACACACCCCTCTTTTTTCATTTGTAGAATCCTCTTATTTGCACTTTGGTTTGAACAAAGATAGTATCACCTTGTTCAATGAAAAGAAGCAGAAACTGTACAAAGGGTGTCCATGGGTGATAGCTTATGATATGTGTCAATCAGTTCTCTGAATCTTATTTACTGAAGCTGAGGTAGGAAAATAAAAGTGAAATAAACTACATTTTTGACTTTGTGACTTTGTTGTTTCATTTTCTCATTGGAGAAGAAATATTCCCTCATCCAACTAGTATTTACAAAATAATGGTGAGTATATGTAAGTACCAATTGTGTGTATTCCATCACTGACACCTACGGTGACATCTTCAGGGCTGGGGATAAGTAAATCCTGGTGATGATTGAGCATCTGTATGTGCTGAGTGGCAATATCTTCCCTTTTTTATTGGAGTCTCACTCTGTCACCCAGCTGGAGTGCAGTGACACTATCATAGCTCACTGCAGCCTCCACCTTCTGTATTCAGGGGATCAATCCTTTCACTTCAGCCTTCCGTGTGGCTGGGACAACAGGCCCTCACCACCACACCCAGCTAATTTGATTTTTTTGTTGAGACAGGGTCTCACTATGTTGCCCAGGCTGGTCCTGAGCAGCAATGTCCTCTTAATAGACACTGAGCTTCTATGGTACTTGCAGTTTGTAATTGCATACTTGTGTCTGTGACTCTCTGGATAATGTCTAGTCCTCACTAGAGCTCTCAACCATCCAGAGACTGGGGAAGTCTGTTTTGGCTGCCATCATGCTCTGTGGCCCGATGCCAACACTCCATAGGCTCTCGAGCTCCTGAAGAGTCTGGGAACCCAGCTGTGCACATTCCCACTTGTCTCTGGACAGCCCCTGGTCCCTGCCCTGGAGTTTCCTGGAGTTTTTATTTTGCATAGCTGTGAGGTGGACCTTAGTGTTCCCTGCTCATAGGGTTGTCTTAAGGATCCAGAAAACTCACATTGTCCAACATAGAGTAGCTGACTCGTAACTCTTAGTTTCCTTCCTTCCTTGCTGTTTGCACATCTTCTGTTGTCCACCTCTGGTGGGAAGGGACAGGTTGCAGGACTGAGCAGAAAGGTTAACCACCTTGGCCACATTTGCTTCAGGTGGTGGTAACACAAGTGTTCCTTGAAGGGTAGACAACCCCTTGGTTCACTGCAGCAAACCAGACTGTCTGTCTGATCCAGCACTGGCTTTGTTCTGGCATGAAAAAAACCTTAGAACGTGTAGTGTCCTGCCTAACTGCAGAGATGGATACAGAGGTAAAAGCCATGCGAGGTGGTTGTTGATCAGGGTGATGGCAGATACACAGACCAGGTGTGTGGGAATATAGGCGATCGCCATCTGACCCCAGCTCAGCACCTGTGTGTCCTGAGACAGCTCACAGCCAGACCTTTCCATCCCCCCCCTGAAACTTATGAAGTTTAAAATTCACTCATCTAAGAGGCTCTATTTGGGAGACTCTCTGCAGTAGCTGCAAATACAAATCAGGTGTAGATAGTTTAACCCAATCAGCAGTCTCTCCTACCTTAATCTTCCTGTCTTCCTGTACAGAAATGGAGATCTTAAATCATCACATAATGATTTTTACAGAATGGTAATTATATCTCCACATTGTTAAAATGTCCAGTTGGAGAATCTGTAGTGATGGGACGTGGTGAGCAGTATTCCTGGCCTAGGTATGGGACAGGGAAAGGCTGCAGCTGACCCCAAGTGGACACCCCACGATGAGCACAGCCATCCTCCTTGACTTGTCTGCTGGGCAGGGTTGAGGGCTAGGGGCCACCCTGGAATATTCCACCCTCCCCAGTTAGGCTGGACTAGGAGAAGGAAGGGAGGAGGTCTTCTCTGGCATTGCTACAAAGACCCTGTGGCTTCTATCCTGGTGATGGGCGGGTTGTTCTCTCTGTGGGGAAAATGTGCTTTGCTCAATGTGCCCTCAAGGGCTAAGGAGCTTTGAATGCTTAAGACCAAACCTCAGTGAGAGTTTCACACACAAGTTCAGGCGTGTGGTACATGCAAGTTCAAATTTAACACAAAAATGAGTTGAGATTTCTACAAAAACAGATCACATTAAAGTTGCGGGTAAATCAAGGGCTGCCTCTCATTCCTTCATTAATTTACTGAGCAGCTACTGTGCCAGGCACAGTTCTAGAACTCCACAGCCTTGATCAAAACAAAAATCTCAGCCATCATGTCGCTCACACTACTGGGGAGATGCACAAATAATATCTAGTGTGTCAGATTGTGGACGAATGCTGTAGCCAAGAAGGGTGAAATCCAAGAAGGGTGATGGGAGACATTGGGGACAGGAATTGCCGATCAGGGAGGGCTTCGCTTGGGTGACATTTTAGGAAGAAAGTGCAGGAGGAAGACGAACCGGGGTGGGATCTTTGCAGGCAGAGGGCAGAGCTGAGGACAGAGCCGAGGGTGTGGGGGTGAGGAGGTGAAGAGCCTTGTAGGAGTTGGCCCGGGGGGTGACCGGACCCGGCATGGCAGCAGGCTTACTGTCACTGCCTTGCTGAGAACCAATTATGGGAGGCAGAGACCGACAAAGTCACAGCACCCAGCCCTCAGACTGAGGGTGGGAAGGGTATTAATGAGTATTAGTTCACAGCAAATCCACATAGAAAGGAGAGAGAAGATCAACAGCATAACACTCAAGAAAGGTGGGCAAGTGCCAGGCACCGTGGCTCATGCCTGTGATTCCAGCACTTTGGGAGGTGGAGGCGAGAGGACTTTTGAACCCAGGGGTTCAAAACCAGCCTGTGCGACTTGGCAAGATCTTGTCTTTATGATAGATTTAAAAAAAATTAGCTGGGTGGTGGCATGTGTCTGTAGTTCCGGCTACTTAGAGGGCTGAGGTGGAAGGATCACCTGAGCCCAGCAGGTTGAAGCTATGGTGGCCATGAGTGTGCCACTGCACTGGATCCAGCCTGGGTGACAGTGAGACTCTGACTCAAAAAAAAAGGGCAAGAGGCAGAAAAAATGTTTGCGAGAGACCAAGAACCCAGGTGTGGGGGGACTAGAACTTTCTGGGGAGACTTTTATCACAGAACTTAATAAGAATATGAATTCAAGGAAGGATCAAAGGAGATGATAAAATAACAGAATGATGTGAGCATGAGGACTGCAGAGCTAAGAAGGGTCGTGGAAGATGGCATTGCTACTACTGAATTAGACATAGTCAGAAATGGAATAGGCTTGCTGAGAATTCAGTGACACCTACAGGGCAGGTCTCTCATTTAGAGGCTAGGAAGTTCTTAGGGCAGTGATGTCATTTTTGTCTCACCCTTGAGGCCCAGCGGAGTATGCATCAGCACAAATACAGATTGCTACCTAGAAAGGAAGCAGACAACTGCATTGACGGATCTGAACTTGAACAGCACACTTGACAGCCTTGCCCTGGGAGAACTTTGCTTCTTCCTTCCTCCTGGCAGGAGCAGCCAGCAGAGCCAGACAGAAAGTATCCTCAAGTTTATAAACAAAGACAGTTTAGCTGATCTTTGCACCATGGTGTGTTTCTCTAGAGTCAGTTTGTATAGGTGTGGCTTCCTTTTATGAGCAGAAATCACATTCTTAGGACAGCGGCTATGTTTGAAATTTGTATTGGGGCTTGAAGGCAAGATCATAAATAGGTTGTTTTTCTCTAAAGGATGTTGTTCTCCACACTGGAATATAGCTTGCAGCTCTTTGCCTTTGCTGAGCAGGAAAGCCAAGGTTGCAGTTCTAATGTTTTATCTTCTTGATAAAGTGGGGTATGATTATGTGTAGACAGTATTAACACCCTGAGCTCACATGCACTGGAGTAGCCTACAAGAAAACTGAGAAATGCACACTGGGAACTTCTGGAAAGAGCATGGGCCTGGGCGTCAGAGGCTCAGGAGCAGAGCTGGGTGTTCCAGTGGCAGGTAGCCAGGCTCTGGATGCCACACGCCTCTAGCAAACACTGCCCTCTCTTGTGGGATGAGGTACGGTTTTGATGACCTCTCTGAACTCTTCTCACTCTAACCTTCTGCCCCGTGAGTATCTGATGGAGATGTCCCTCTGTGGGCTTTTTGTTTAGCATTCATAAGATGTTCTTATTTCCAAATTAACACTCTCATGTACTGAAAGCCCATCTGTCTAGCACTACCTTCCCTGTATCTATTACACACTGAATCCTTATAGCAGTTCTCTGGGGGCAGGCATTATCAGACATGTCCATGTAAAGAAACTCAGATGAGCCAGGCTCGGTGGCTCAGCCTGTAATCCCGCGCCTTTGGGAGGCTGAGGTGAGTGGATTGCCCGGGCCCACGGGTTCGAGACCCACCTGGGCAGTGAGACCTCATCTCTACAATAAATAAAAAAAATCAGCCGGGCGTGGTAGCGCATGCCTGTAATTCCAGCTACTTTGGAACGCTGAGGCGGAAGGATCACCGGAGCCCAGCAGGTCGAGGCTGCGGTGGCCAGGAGTGGCCACTGCACTTCAGTCTGGGCAGCCGAGTGAGACTCCAACTCAGAAAAAAAAAAAAGAAACTCAGATGGATTGGCTGGGCATGGTGGTGCTTACCTGTAGTTCCAGCTACTTGGAAGGCTGAGGCGGAAGGATCACCTGAACCCCATAGGTCGAGGCTACGGTGGCCGTGAGCGTGCCACTGCACTCCAGCCTGGGCGACAGAGTGAGACTCCAACTAAAAAAAAAATAAAAAGAAACTCAGATGGAGAGAGGTTAAGTCACTCGCCCAAGATTACACAGTAAGTGGTAGAACAGGGAATTTAGCCCCCAGGCTGACTCTAACCAGCAGATTATACCTGTTTACCTAACATTAAAAGATGAGTATTGTTTCTTTTATATTTTCAAGATTTTCAAACCTTGTCTGGAACAAAAATGTGATTTTTAAAAGTTCTTATAGAAGTCCCAGCACTTCAGAAGTATGCTCTCTGTCACTGTGCTGCTATAAGCTATGGAGGTGGTAACCCCACACAAAGCCCAGTCTGGTGTGATAGAACCAGCTCTTGCCCCTGGCAGGTTTCAGTGGGAGTCCAGCTGAAAGCACTGGGTTTACAACTGGGAGTATCATTATCGAGTGAGACTGCACACATACTACTTTATAATCTAGGCATCATCTCATTCATCTTCTCCTTGGTCAGTGGTTCTCAAAGCCTGGTTTCCAGATCTGCAGGAGTCCTTTTAGAGGGTTTGTAAGATTTTC